TCTTGAGCATGGCACAGGATGGTGCACTCAGCATTTCACAGGGGCCTCAGAATCCAGAACAAGACAGCCTTCAATTGGAGCAATTAACATTTTTATGTTTACTGCAATTTCAGATGCAGACCTTCTTATAGGCCAAAGAGACTCTAGTAAAGAATTTATCTGTCAAAGTCAGTTTTTGACTTTTCCAGAGAAGCCAGGTAAGAGTTAAGGAATAGCCATAGCTAAATAAGCCTCACCTGCTATTAGCAATGCACATGTGGACTTCCATATTCCTGGACTGATATTGATAAGACAAGCTCCAAGGACAAAGATAGCAGGTGGAAAAACAAAGCAAAGGACAGGGCAAGTACTGTGGAGTTCTGGCCCTTCAGACATGTCTCCAGAGGAGTCTCTGTGGAGAAGCACTAGAGCAATGCAAGCATGCCAAGATGCTGAAAAACTGGAAGCAAGCCACATCTAAGTCATGGAGAATATGCCTGTCTGTAATTGCTGTTCTCAGAGTTGCCCTCAGCAGGGTTCAGAGCTGGGGCTAATCCTGCTTTGCATATTCTATCAGAAACAAGGACAGGGGAACGAGCACCAATTGGTAAATTCTTGTTAAATTAGTATCCAATTTAACAAGAAGCCAGAAGATAAAGAGTTGGAATAGAGAAAATATGGGGATCTGTAGGATATACAAAAACAATTTTGAGAAAATAGGCAACTTACTTGGAAGGAGCAGGGTTGAAAACTGCATCTGGGGAAAGCTAATTAGAAAAAAAAAAAGTAAGCTAAGAGGAACTTTTAAAAGAAAAGAAGGCAAAAATTGATGCTAAACTGTCTATCCAGATATTGGAGAATGCATTACAGAGTCCATGCTGGATTTCTTTAGCAAATGCTAAAGGTTTGATCAAACAGATGCAGTTTGAGAAACAGAAGGGTGTGTGAAAAAAGCAGCTCGTGTGTCATCCCTCCATGCCAATACCTACCTTACAAATATGTGGCTGAGGTTCTCAAGGGCTTTACAGAGTATTTTCAGTACAGCAAGAAATACCAGTGATTTGGCAGGACCAGAGGTGATTTACTTCTCTGCTTTTGTGTAGCAGAGCCATACAAAATAACCGTGGTGGTATCACATACCTAGTCCTCCGTTGCTATGTGCTTTGAGTACAACAGGCCATGCTCCCAAACCAGCACTTTATAAATACCTCACACTGACTTAGAAGCTGCCTAAACCAGAGGCCAGTGGTCCAGTGGCATCCAGAGTAGGTGGCAAAATTCCCTTTCACTCCTTAGAAAGCAATGTGAATTATCCATTGGGCAGGAGTGAAGTTATCTTAATTTTAATCTTCCATGAATAGAAAAATACCAAAAATTAAGTATCAAAGGCTTCACACGGGCACAATTCCCACAGAACTCCCTATCCAGTTAATTTAGCTCAGGACTGCAGGCTGAGCTGCCTGCATCTCCAAAAGCACGACTGAGGATAACAGTGACAGTGAGATGGGAGGGAAAGAGAATTACAGAGACAGGCAGGAGAGAAATTGCCTGATGAATTTTGTGCATTTCATTTATGTGTAAATCACTTTCAGCTCTTTTTCCCTTTGTTTTGTGCTCCTGAGATGCTGCACACCTGGGTTAATTTTGCAGTTAAAAAAAAATAGGAAAACTAAGCTGCATAATCACTGTTTTGATGAGTTTCCTTTTAACTCCAAACTCTTCTTTTCAGATGCTAACGACACAGCCTCAAAACTCACTTGACTGATCTGAAAAGCAGTTCTACATTCCATACCTCATCCAGCAGACTGTTAAAATATTTAATACTGTATTTGTTATGCAGATAAAGACCAAGTCAGTATTTACTAAGGAGTGAACGTTCTTTTTAGACTTATTGAACTTGCCAATTTTTGATGGCAAGAGCAAAGCATGAAGCAAATCCAAAAGTATGTCTGGACCAACTTCAGAAACCTTCTCTGACCTATGTATAGGACACAAAGAATGTTTTTCAAGTAGTGATCTTTGCTGATGCCAACTGCTGCAACATGCTTCCCCTATAATATTGTTTAGGTTTGTTAGTGAGGTGGGACAATGCAACAGAACTCTTCATTCTCCAAAGAACAGCGGCAGCGATGGGGAGACTTTTCCCCAGAGCAAAACACATGTCCTAGAGCAGGGCAGTGCCACAGCTCCTCACCCTTTATGGCTGGTGTTACGTGCTCATGGCTCTTTGCTCTCCTCCCTCAGCAGCACCCTCAGCCCCAAGCTGACTCTGTGAGCAGCTCCACAGGCCTGGAACACCCAAAGGCCTGTTAACAAACAGAGCATTTTGCCAAACCGACAAATCAGCAAGTGATGCAATCTGTTCTGGGGACTTACAGAGGCACATCTGGGAGGGACTTGACAGCCTCCACTTCAGAAAGCTCCTCAGCACTTCTTCCAGGAGACAACGGCAGTTTGTGTGTACCAAGCTGAATTACAGGAATTTACCAAAAAACCTCATGCCACCTCTAAATATCCCTAAATTTTTGCCATGATTTCCAATTTTGTTCTGATTTTGGGGCTAATACTTCAGCCACAACCTCCTTTCCAAAAAGAATTGTCCTTTTAACTGAAGATTTGAAGGGAGGCTGTTGGTGCTGTACCTTCAGATACAAAAGCTCTCGTCAACTGAACACTGTCCCATTCCTAAAGGAAGTGGGGGCAGGAGTCACTGCAGACAGTTCTTGGATCTACTGTTCATTACAGGACCGTCCTCTTCCCAGTGCCATAGCCACAAAGGAAAGAAATTCCTCTATTTCCTCTACAGGAAGAAATCCCAATAAGGATTTCAGAGTCAGATCACACAACTTTGCTCTCCTCCTTTTCACTTCTCAGTTCAGTGGGATTTCAACAGACCTTGTAAGAGATAGAGCTATACAGAAGCAGTGGAGAGGGGAAAAGCAATGCCAAAATCATTCAGAACATGCCATTTCCTTCTCCTAGATTTAATATACTTACTACTATTTATTTTGAGAGCTGGGAAGGATTCTTCCTCCCTGGAGTTCTTTTTTCTATCTGGCCCAAATGCCCCCAGTCAAGTCTTAGAAATGTGCTTTGTTTTTCGCAGAGCTATCATAATATAGCCTCTGTAAGGATTATAGGGTAATAAACAACTGGAAAACACTCTGCAACAACTAGTGCTGGGACTGGAGTACACAGTGCATGGAATATAGCCTGAAATTTAATGATGCAAAGCCAGTTTTAAGCTCAGAGGAGACGTGGGCTGGTTAGCGTTGGACACGGTGAAGACAGACGAGCCAGCTCAACTAATGCTTTTTACTTCTATTTTGTATTATAAATGCACATTCCTCTAAGAAAGGAGCCTGGCCAAGAGCAGAGCCTCCTCTCTACCTGTGAGAGTCCTGTGTTCATCTGCAGTGCTGCAGTGGCAGCCAGCTCCACGGGCAGTGTCTCCTGTCTGTTTGCACGCTTGGCATGCGTGTGACAGCACTTACAGCTGCACTCCAAAAGCAGCAGCTGCCTGTTGATACAAACCCTCACACTGGAAAAACAGGTGATAATGAATTCTTAAAGCATGTGCAAGTATTAAGCAACTCCTCTATGAATTGCCAGCAGCTGTTTCAGAACCCTGCCCTGCTTGCCACAGGTATTTATTGAAAGTATGATACCCGCCCTGGCATAAAACACATGCCTAGACATACACATTGCAGCCCCAGAGTCCCTTAAGGCCCCTGAGCCAGGCCAGGCCAGCAAATTGTTGGGTAATTTCAAAGCTACCCGCTGGGAAGCTTCCCATCATGTAAAGGGAAACAGAAAGAAAGGAAAGGAGCTGGAGAGAAATAACCGGGTCAAATTTCCTTGTCGTTTTACAGATCCTCAAAGACAAAGTCATGTAGCTGTTGAGAATTGCAATGCTTCTGATATTCTTCAGTCACACATTTTGCTTGCACACTCACACCAGATTCAGTCTCTGTCCCAGACTCACAACAGGAAGAACTTTCATAGCAGCAGAAACACTTCAGGTATTTTCATTTACAATACAGTTTTACCATTTTAACCACTAAGGAATGTGGCACTGAAACATTTTCCCTCCTTATTCTATACTTGGATTGTATGCAGACCATTCATTGATGTTGTCTGGAACAAGTCAGCATTTCACTGTACTCTGCTCTGCTGTTGTCTCTTAGCAGTTACAGCTATAGCTCCTTCCTCTGGCATGGGAAGGAGAGGGACAGCATGCAAGAAAGCTGCTGAGGTTACAAAAGGATCAGTCACATCACTAGATAAAGGGAAAGCACCTGTTCCAACATCATTTTTTTTTTTTGAATTAACTGCACATCAAACAATCCAAATAGCAAAGTAGTAATGCACCAAAAAAAAAAAAGTCTTAACTTCATTAAAGCAGTTACTGCTGGCTTTGGAGAATAAACAACTCTTAGGCTCCATGAATCCCAGCTAAAACGAATCCACATCTGAAACAACTCCGTGTCATTAGAAACACTGAATAACCCAGTGATCAAAGGCACTGTCAATACAATTATACTACACGGGAGGATAAGAGGGAGGCCTAGACAACTAACAGTGTGAGTAATTGGGTTAAACTCTGGGCTTGTTTTCAAACACGGCAATCCACCATGCGAACGCTGCAGGTCTCACTTAACTGGGTCACCAAAACTTTGCAAAAGCCTACTAACTTAAGGCTAGGAAGTGCTACTTGTTTGCTTAACTTCAGGCTACAAGATATGAACCTTGGGAAGTGTAAGCAAATCCACACAGGTCTGGGCAGGAATCTGGACCAGCAGATGGAAGAGTTAAGAACTGTGCTCCTCAGCTCTTAGGGCTGCTGTGCCCTTACAAATTATATCAGTTTCCTTCCACGTAGTCCACGTTTGGAAGCAACAGAAATTAAAGAACAGAGGTAAGAGGCATGCCCTCCCACACTGCCCCCACAATGAAAATTGTATCCCTGTCCAGCCCCGGGGTCCTGACAACCATTTCACATAGTAATTTGGAGTAAATACCTTTCAGTAGGTAATCCTGCCACAGCCGTGTCCTGGAGTTCACTGAGGTCAAGGCTCTTAGGCTCAGTGAATGCAGCTGGTGACAGGTCTCTTTTGGCATCCTGGAGTGAGCTTTCACATTCCAAATTCATCTTGCTCGGCAGCTTTCCAGCAGCAGGAAGATCTGGGCATGCAGAATGCTTCTCCTGCTCCCACACAGGAGCAGCCGGAGAGCGATTTTCGTGCAGGTCTGTCTCCTGCTCTTCAGTGCTCGTGTTCACAGCCAAGTCACCCTCAGCAGTGACTAACATCCTTGCAGTACCTGTTTCAGGGATGTCTCCAGTCTTTTCCTTACCTCTCCTGGCTGTGCTTAACACTGTGTCACTGATCTCTTTCACATCTCCCTCCGTCGCGTTGCTAGATTCTACTTCAGAGCCAGTTTGCAAGCAGTCCTCCTGGCTTACTTCATTTTTTAAGTAATCTATTAACCCACGCACAGCCACCTTTTCTTGCTGTGCATCTTGTGAATGTTCCGATGTTTCCAAGCATTTCTTGCTTACTGGATCATCCTGTATCATCTGCGTGCCACTCTGAGGTTTAACATCACGCCTAAGGTCGCTGCTGAAGCCTGGCTGCTGATTCTCCTCGGGCGGCACCTGCAAACCCTCCGGCAGCTTCTGGTGAGTGTAAGGGCCTCCCGGGACGAGTGCTGACGCTGCCATGTCAGAGGTGCTCCCAGCAACGCCTGGACCACCACACTCACTTTTCTCCTGGTCATTTGGCTTGGGATCCAGGCACTGTTCAGCAGGACTTACATCCTCTTCAGATGAAACCGGTCCTGCATTACACTCTGTGATCAAGTTCTTGCCCTCTGTGGCAGCAGCATCTACTAAGTCACTCTTGTGTGTGCTGCCTGTGGAGAGAACAGCTACAGCGGGTTGTTGCTCGCCGTCAGAACCTGCAGGGAAGTTCTCAGCTGCTGCCCCATCAAATGAAGCTGGCCCTTGCTGCTTTATCTCTAAGCTTATTAGCCACTGGGGATCAGCGCCACCGGCACACACGCCTTCCTCTCCTTCCATCTCACTGCTCTCTGGGTGCTGGATGGTTTTCTCTGCCTTCTGCAGGCTTTCCAGAGCACGTCCAGCAGGTGTAACGCCATCCAACGTAGGGACCACTTCGAAACAGCCACCGGGCTGCTTGTTTTCCTCGGTGTCTTGGAGACTTGCTGGTGGCAGCTCTGCCACTGTGTTTTCTGGATGCAGAGATTTGCCCGTGGCAGCTCCGTGGGAAGTCTCGGTAGCTAGAGACACCTCTTGCCCCTCTGCTTCTCCTTTGCCCACCTTGTTTGGTTCTGAAGAGTTCTCAGAACCACACAGTTCTGCTCTGTCCTTGGCTGCTGGACTCTGCTTGACGCCTGCATGGTTTTCAGACAAAAGTTGGGGTAATTCAGCACTCAATGTGCTGTGGACAGTTTTTTTAAATATCTGGCTGATATGCTCCCTAAAATTTGGGAGGCTGGAGCCAATGTCCAGAGAGCTGCAAGTCAGAGCCTCATGCTCCCTTCCAGAGTTCCCTGCAGACTGCTCGGAAGCACTAATCTCTGCCCTGCTTATGTTATTGTTCTCCTTTGAAAGCTCTTCCCGTTTTTCTGAATTCCCAGCTTTCTCTAAGATCTCACTGCACTTGTCATCTACACAGATATTGGTTGCAATTTCCTCATTACAGCCTTCTTGTTTACCAGCAGATGAAAGACTCAGCAGCTTCCCTTCTAGAGCAGGGAGAGCTAACACAGACGCTGCTGAACTGTCACTTTGCTGTTCTTTGAAGCTTACCTCACTTTTTGTTTCTTTGGATTTAATTGCAGATATCTCTTTCTTCAGCTTCTCAGAACTGAATGGTGATAAGTTCCCAGTACTCTGCCCCAGGTTTAAAGTCTCTAGTAGGGCTACACTTCTGTCTCCATCACCCTGAAAACTTTGGCCTGGAACATCCTTTTCATTCACACTCATACTCCCTGCTGAGCCGTTTTCTGAGCTTGCTGTTTTACCTGTGCTTGCCCTGGGTGAAGGATCTTCAGACACCTGAGAACCTGCAGCAATCTGCAAATCAGAGTTGCCTTCTAAGGTATTTTGGCACGAGACAACTTCCAGCTCATCATTTAGTAATTCCCCCCCAGTGCCATTGTTGGTGTTGTTTCCAGGTTGCTGGCTTGGATGGCTGAGTGCAGAGGTCTGTGTAAAGGGGGCTGTAGGATTCTCTTGACAGCTACCAGGCTCCTGCGGTGGCTTTTGAATGCAGCTGGATTTACAGGACTTATCAGGGGGAATTACTTCCCTGTATGCTTGTAATGATGAAGGAGATCCTTGTGCCCCTGGACTTTTATCACTTTTCACAGTGCTTTTTTCTGTGACAGAAGCACTGTCCTCACAACTTATCTCCATGTTGCCATCTTTCTGGATGATTACCCCATCAGCAGTCAGATTTTCAATCTTTTCCAAGTTTTTTACCATTAATGGTGTTTTCCCTTGAGTTTCTGGACAAGATATTTGAGGGTCATTTTTCTCAGCATTATCAGAAGTATGTGCTATTTCTGTGTCACTTGGCAAAGCACTTGCTGAATTCTGTGTCCCTGGAAGAGCATTCATAGCAGCAGCAGGGCTTTCACCAGTATTATCCTTTATCCTGCATATGCTGCCTGGCTGTTCATTCTTGTCAGATTCTTTACAAGACGTATCACTATGACATGCTGCTTCATGCTGACTAGCTGAGATCAAAGAATTATTGCCCTGCTCGGGCTCGTCTGAGTTTTGCTTACTGTGGCAGTTTTCTTCTGCCTTGAGATCAGTTTTGTTTTGCTCGTTGCTATCTTGCAAATTAAGTGTGGTCACACCAGGAATATTTTGCCTGTGTTTGCTGCTGCACAGATCCTCTGACACCACAGCACTGCTTTTATCCTCATCCTTTTCTTTTGCTGTGTCAGAGTCGCATTGGATCAGCGCTGCCTCTGGCACAGAAGAGTCTTTACTAAGGTTGGTTGAAATTGTTGGAGGTATTTCTGGTATGTTGCTGTGATTATGTAGGTCCGATGGCCGTTCAGGTTTTTGAGCCCTTTCTTTGTGTTCCTGATCATCTGCTTTTGTGACAGCTGTCAAACTGCTTTGCTGCTTCTGTTGTTGGAGTCCTGTTTTTGAAACCCAGGCACTGTCACCAGCAACAGACCCTGACTTCTCCATGGGCTCTGCAGCTGGGACACCTGCATCTTCCTGCAGCTCTCCAGTGCTGCACTTGGGGCTCTCCAAAGAGCTGCATGTGCCACTCTCAGAGGGGTGGCTGCTTTCACTGGCAGGGCTGTCAGCCCCTTCCTCCACGTGAACTTCCCGGGGAGTGACTCCTGAAGTCCCAGCCACGGCTTGGGAGGTTTCTGAACAAGCCATCTGCATAGTCCTGGGGCTTTCTGCAGCCCCTTGCTCCAGCTGAGCTCTCCTCAGGACATCCAGTTTGCATTCGCTTGCCAGTGCCAAATCTTTGTCCCCCACAGAACTTGTCTGGTGCTTCTCCTGTTGAATCCCCTGATTTTCTTCACCATCCACAGCACTGCCTTGTGCAGCTGCGGGTCCTTGCTCTGCATCACCGTGAGGCACTTCAGTGATGTGACCAACCTGTTCTCTGGTTTCCAGACTCCACGAGGCCTCCTCAGGTTGCAGAGCCGTGGGATCCACACTCCCTGCCAACTTCTCTACGCCCTGGAGCTCGAGCTTTGATTCTGACATTTTTGCACTCTCTTCTGACTTGCTATAGCTCTCAGGTTTTTCTTGGCTTTCAGTTTTGCATTCAGATACCAACACAGTTTCTCTAGCAAAAGCCTTTTCCCAGGACTCATCCTGCTTACTCTGCTTAATATTATTGTTCTTAGAGTGGAGGAGCAGTGAACTGTGTGCAGCAGCTGAACAAACCTTCTCAGCAGTCCCGTTACAGTCTGGCTGCCCCAAAGTTCTGTCTTCTGCCTCAGTCTTAAAGCAATCAAAGCTCAGTGGGCATTCCTCCCTCAGAGACTGCGGTGAAGCCATGAGCTTATTCTCCAGGCTGTCTGTAGCAGCTCTTCTCTCTGTACTCCTCTGCTGTTCAGGTTTATAAACAAGAGAGTGTGAATTGTCTCTGGGCAATTTAAAGGTACTGGCTGAATCTAGAGGCTTTTCCCCAGCTTCTTCCCCTAGGTCACCTGCTGAAGTCTTTTCACAAAGACTGAATTCTTCCAGATTGTGTCCCAAGTGGGTATTTTCTGCATGCTGGTGCTGGCTACCACCAGAGTTTAATAGCTGTTTTTCTGCCCCACATGATCCCTCAGGAAATCCACTGTGTTCTGTCACTTGAGTCTCCTCTGTTCTAATTTCATTTTTTTTTCCTGTTAGACTTGCCTTGGTTTCTTTTTGATTCAGCTCTGTGGATCTGCTCAGAGAAGTACTTAATACATCTTCTTCCATCAATAATCTTTTATCTATCAGGGAGTTTTCCTTGGTGGGACTGAGAATGCTTTCTGTTTCAGAAAGTATGGTGCTTTCTTTAGACAAATCCTCAGCTTTAATAATTTCATTGCTACTGGCTTCATCTTTTTGGCTTTGAGTTGTGACAGCTGATTTTTGTTCTTCCTTTTGCTTAAAGGATGAAGGCACACTGAAATGCTCAGCACTAACAAGCTCATCTGCCTTTTGAAGGTCTCTTTGAAAAATGGGTTCAGTTTTTTCAGAGGCTGCTTTCACTGCTTCACTCCTCATTGGATCTTGAGAGTCTTTTCCAGGCACATATTCCCTTGAAGGCTCTTCAGGCTTTGGTACCAGGAAGAGATTTGGAGGGTTAGAAGGCAACTCTGACATTAAAGTACATGCTTCTGATTGCTCCCTTTTGCTTCCAGATACAGCTAGATTTGCTTCATCCCCTTTAGCTGTTGTTACAGCCCCTATCTGTAGATTACAGACTTCACTCATCTCAGTGAAGCCCTGAGCATTCACAATTGCTCCAAATTTTTCACTGTCTGAGCCCCCTGTTGCTGGATAATTTAGGATTAAGGTTTCCTTTTTCATTAGCAGACCCTCTCCACCATCTGTGTTCTGTCTACCTTGCTGCATTACAGTCTGTTGCTGACCTACTTCCAAAACTCCTCGCTCCTGCTCGGCCTCCTGAGCAGTAAAATAATCTCCTGCCTCTTTACCCTGGGGAAACGTGCTGACATGTGGTTCCCTCCTGCCACCCAGCTGTTCACTCTGCTGGAGCAATCCTAATTCACTCAAACTCCTTGGTAGGACTCCTTGCAGTTCTGCAATAGCTGCTGGAGGGCTGGGCCCCAGGTTTGGGTTCCTGGGATCATTCTCACCATTCTTCATAGAAGTGGCAGCAATATTGTCACATTTTGGGCCTCTATCCACACATTCATCATGTGCCCTTCCCTCCTCTTTGTCATCCACTGGAGCTGGTGATGGCACAGCTTCACTGCAATCTGAGGTGGGTACCTTGTCACTGCTGCTTGTGAGATCTGCTGTGACATGTTCTTTGGCAGAGCCTGCAGGAGGCACTGGGATAGGCAGACTTCTCCCTCTGGCCCCTGCAGCCTGCATTAAGAGATCAGAGCCTGTTTGTCCTCCAGGTTCGTGCAAGATCGTGTTCTGTCCTGTCACCTCTGCAGACACCATGCTTGAGTTTGGGTTGGGTAGATCTTCAGCACTGTAGCTACTGATGCCTTCCTTAACGACGCTGCCAACAATGGAAACGTTTATTTGTTTCATGTCAATAAAGAAGCAAAGAATATGAAGCAGATGAAGCAAAGAATAAAACCAGTTTGTGCCGTGGATGTTTCAAAGCCATGCAGTGCATGCACTGAGAAGCTGGTAATCTGCTTTCAGGAGTTAAACCATCAGACACACATTACACTGATTTAAATGCTCATTACTCTGGAAAATGTCCCCAGTCTTCCCTCACAGCCACCATGCTCATGGCTTGCAGTTTAACCATTCCAAAGTTTTAGTTTAGTGTGGAGAGAGGGGACACACACCTAACAGACTAAGGGAGCAGCACGGGAGAAAAGTAAAAAATGAAATCCTGCAAAAACGACCAGTACCTCCAAGAAAGGTTTTTCTTTTCTGCTTCTGTGAGAGTGTTTTGTGCAAAGCCAAAGGCTGTGCAATCTGCAGTCACTGCTGTTCTCTGGCTATGCTTTTATTGTGGAGCAGAAGATTAAGAAGGGCCCATCTGTTGAATATTTTCTCCAACTAATCAGCACCACTGATTCTCACCAAAAGGTCAAAGGTCTCAGCCTGCCATACAATGATACACACCCTATGAGGTCATTTTATTGCAGTATTTGATTTCAGTGCATATAAACCATTTCTATGATCTCTCTCCCCACCCATTAAAGATAAGATAGAAAAAAATGGAAATGGAGATATGTGGGAGCACTAACAGCAGAGAAGAAGCTAGTCTTAATATTTGTCTCGTGCACTGTGTGTACCTCAGTTTCCACACCATGGCCTGCAGGTGATGAAATAGGTAAATCTCCCCCCATACCCTCCTATCCAAAGCAAGTTACACAGACAACACGTTGCCAAATGCTCAGAAGTAGCTATAAAAGATGCTAAAAACCTTCAGAATTATTGCACTGAAAGATAAAGTAGTCTTTAAAAAGCTATTGAATTTTCCTAGATTAAATATAAGCCTCGAATCTAAGGTAGAATATCTATAACATAGAATTCCTGTAGAGTTTAAACAAGTTTCAGCAATGCTTGGCAATGGTTTGAATGTTTAAATTGTAATAACTACATTTCATTTAAGCTTTTAAAAATTGTTTTGCCCAGTGGAATCTATCACAGAAAACACCTCTCCATATAAAACTTGACACTGGGAGCAGCAGAGATGGCTGTGCAATATTTGGCACCTGCTGGATCACTGACAACATCGGGCATGATGGAACATGAACGAATCAATGAGGAGGCTTTCCCTAAGGAAGGAACACACTCCATCATTTGACATTAAATTTGCACTCAAAGAAGCTTAATTAGAAAAGGAGGGGCAAACCCCAAAACTCTGAGTTGGCAAATGGATAGAGAAGTAGGAGTCAATTGCCATTCCAGCTTTTTCTTCCTATTGCAGGTTTATCTTCTTCCTGATTAAATTGCTCGTTAGTAAATGTGTGCACAGTGTTCTTTGGCCTGGAAGCACCTTGTATCAGAGGCAGGGGGATGGTGTACAGGTACAGATTTTATCTGTATCAAGGGCAGAACAAACATGGGGGGGATGTTGGCGTGTTGGAGCCCTCTAACCTCTGTGAAATTGAGTGTTGGATAAAGTAGATACCACCTACAATTCCAGTTTCTCCTTATCTCTTATCTTTAACCTCTGGTTCTTTACTCATTGTTAATCCCATCTGTCAGAAATGGAACTTTCCAGTTCTATCAGGAGTTCAGAAAACCATGGTAATAAATGTGGGATTGAAACACTGGCAATGTTCATCATACAGACCAGATATAAGTTTGCATTTTACAGATTTCAGCTGACTGAAATTTCACTAAGACCTTCACAGACATGACTTTTGTTACATTAGACTTCTACCTGCAACTATCAGATAAGGAACTGTTCCAAATATTCCTATATGTATATATAAACCCATGAACCATCTATTGCCATGCTGGTAGCAACTTTGCACAGTCACAGGAGTAAACGTGTGGCTTAGCAGGTTCAAGGGCAGATGACAATCCTATGAAATAAACTATTCAGCATTATAAAGAAACTAAAAGAATTTTTCTGGTGTTCAATAATGCTAAAAACTTGTTCATTTTACTCAGGAGTAGATGAAGGAATTGGGACAAGTCTGTAATTAATGTATGCTGAACAGAATTAAAGTGACAGTGGTGTGACAGCAACTTAAACTATCACTTTCAGAAGGAAGCAGCACACATTCATCATCTCTGCTGCTGCAGCTTGCTTCAGTGTTTTATTCAGGACATAACAGAGAGCTGAGAGGTGTGAGTTTCCTGTCTCAGTAAGACACCACCAGGCTGACCAGTTTGGCTATCCTCATTTAGGTTTCTCCTGATGTAGGGAACAAAACCTACATCTTCCTTTTCATTTTCTGTGATCTTGCTTTTCTGTCTGCAAGACACTGCCAGGGTTAGACAAACATCTGTTGGGAATGACTTAAGCACAGCTGATCCTGCTTTAGGGCAGAAGGATGGACAAGATGACCTCTTAAGGTCACACCTAGTCCCATTATCTTCCACTCTTTTTAAAGGGAATAACACTGCAGGGAAGTGACACCACATGCTGAAGATAATGCCCCTGAGTAAAACCCAATCTACATAGATGGGTTGCCAATCACTAATTACCTGCAGGGGGCACGTATTTTCAGACAACTCATCAACATAAAGCTATGACCTTAAAAGTTATAGTTTTAAATAAAGCAAAATAAAATGTGATCTTTGTTGTCTGAACTAGCTTGATAAAAAAAGGGAGAAGTTCATACTGTAGGGTAATATTTAAAACATGCAAATGACAAATCATGAAGGAACATTAGAGTTCCTTGTGGTTTGTGTAGAGCTTAGGGGAGAATGAGTAATTTTGCTAAGGATAATTGCTGCATGTAATTGATATGTTAAAAAATTGAAATGCAGTCCTGCAAAAACCTACATGCATGTGTAACCTGAAATATGCAAGTGTCCCACTGCACTCAGGAATTAAAGGGAACTTTTTCCTTATCTTGGAAGTTAAGCACACAGTTAAGGATTTGCAAGTTCAAGGCCTTAACTGCCTTACTGCCCATATGAATGATATCTTGGACTCCATCAGTCTGAGGACTTGTGTTACAGGAGCAGCTGAGGAAACTGGCCTTGTTTAGCCTGGAGGAAAGGACACTCAGGGGAGACCATCTCACTCCCTACAATGTCCTGAAAGAGGCTGTAGTGAGGTGGGGGCTGGTTGCTTCTCCCAAGTAACAAGTGATAGGAAGAGGGGAAATGGCCTTTGTGCTAGAGGAGGTTCAGGGTAGATACTGGGAAAATTTTCTTCATTAAAAAGGTTGTCAAGCATGGGAACAGGCTGGCCGGGGGAGCGATTGAGTCACTAACCCTGGAGGCACTTAAAAGATGTATAGATGTGGCCTTTAGGGGCATGGTTTTGTGGTGGATTTGGTAGTGTTAGGTTAACAGTTGGACTCTGATCTTAAAGGTGTTTTGTAACCTACAAGATTCTACGATTCTATCCTTCCAGTTACATCATCAAATAACAATGAGTTAAAACTTTGCCTGTCTGAAGTATGTGTTTTACATAACTAATTACTGACAAATTGTTGCTTGGAAGTGTGCTGCAAATTTACCAAGTCATTTTTAATACCTGTTAACCTCTTCAACCTTCAGAATGTACTGTGGCAAGTTTGACTTATCCTGGAACAATTTGAGAGTACTGCCCAGTTACTGAGGTGTTCACTAGGACAGCACTGCCTGGTTTGTGTTTAGGGTGTGAAGCTATAAAGGATGTTAAGAAATCCACGACTTAATGGTGCAGCTTCCATAAATACTTCTGGATTAGGAGCCATACCAAATCTACCAGCCATTAACACTCAAAGGCACGACTTCCATTACTCTCTTTTGTCAGCCACAAAGGCAAGAGTTTAAAACCAGAAGATTAAACCGAAGATAAAACCAGCAGCAGCTAGAGAAAAGCCCCCTGGCTTTTACAGTCTGAGGGTGGGGAGGGTAGAGATGCTCAAAAATGTTAAGCCAGCTTGATAAACAATAAGAAATGATGATCCAACAACAGAAAATTAGGTAATTTAAAATTTCCCTTTCATATTCCTTTGTTTTCCTTCTAAAACGTGCAATAGCTGCTGAAAGGACAGACAGCCTTCCCACCCCAGTCACACTCGTGAGGGAAAAACACCAAGTGCTGAAGCCTGTGAAGCCCAGAGGTCACATACGGTCACCATCCATGTCGATGTACTTGGAGCCTGAGTGATTACATTCCCAGGAGTATAAAAGACTGAAATCTGAGGACAAATTTAGAAAGTGCTGAAGGGGACAAATGCACGGCCAGCTCTGCAACCATGGCACACATACAGATGCTTCTGAAATGTTTCTGTTCAGTTTCTCCTGACACACAAATGATCAGCATCTACGTTTAGAGTGTACACACTTGGACACGCTGTACCAGAGGACTTGAGTGAACTTAAAGAATCCTGCCTTTAATCTGTCCCTGAGATATGGAAAGTTAATTAGGAAACATCAAAATAATTTCCACATTCCTATTAAAAAAAGTCAGCGTTTCAGAGGCAGAGAAAAATCACTATTTGAATTTTTGGTGTAAACACAGACATGAGAAATCCATCATCACCAAAAGGCTGCTAACAGCAGCCAGCTTCCCCCACCCTCTATAAGCTTTCAGGAAAAAGTGAAGCAGGAGTAATGATTTATATGATCCTCCTGGGAACCCCCCACCCCTTCTCCCCCCACCTCCAACCATTTTTCACCTCCTTCCATACACAGCCTCAAGTGCAGGGCCTGCAGCATTTTAAGTCTGACCGAATGAAAGAATTCTGACAATAACAAGTAAGCTGTATCACTGCTGCAGCAAACGTGGCCAGATCTTCAGTTCCAGTTCCACACGTGGCTCCTGGGCTCTGCCCGAGATCTCCGGAGGGGCAGCAGGAAGCCTGGCACTGAAGGGAAGGTCCCACAGGATGTGTGGCAGCCTCAGCTTCTCATCCTGCC